CCGGGCTACTCATTGCACCGAATGATATACTACTCTACCTCTTCTCACCCACTCCAGGCCTCGCGGTAGAGCAGCAGCACCACTGCCCACGTTAATCCTCTCGGTAGAGCAGCAGCAGCACTGCCAGGAAAATTATCGGGCTACTCCCTGGACCGGGCAAGCGACTTGTGTGGCTTACCGGTTTCCCAATTTGGGGTGAAACGTCATTTCAGGCCTAGCGGTTCCCCCGTTTGGCCCAAAACATCATTGCAGACTGATATCCTATCTCCAGGATTGTACCTAGATTCTAGACCTAACCGCAACTAGACACAGCCCATGTACCATCGTGACCTACTCAGGTAACTACCGACCTCTCCAAGCTACTCGAAAATCCCCGTTGGGTCCCTGTCAAAGTCCTTTCACACCCCCATCTGCCCTACGATTTCCCGTAATTCCTCCCAGAGCCACATTTCAGTGATGTCCCTGACCCTCGGTCTATTTACTAACCTGCCCTGTCCAAGGTACACAAACGCAGCACGTCAAACTGAGCTAGCCCGCAAACGCCAACTCATACTCAGGCTCAGACTCAGAACTCCAACAGACAAGCACACCGGCATACATACACATACCATCAGCAGGATACACATACTCGGGAACGCGGTAAAACAGACTCAGCCTCCAAAACTCAGCAAAACAGATGAAAGTATCGCAGCTTTCTCAGAAAAAAAAGCAGACTTCTCAGATTGCACCAGTGCTCATATTTCCATGGACAATGGACATGGAAAAACCAATCATGGCCCAACTAGGAAAGTGAAAGAAGGCACAAACTGGCCTAGCTCAGTTGGTACACCCCTTAACTGTTGAAATACAGAGCCGGGCTCGAACTCCAAGTGGAAGCAGATGAGTGAAATACCATTATTCTGAATTCCCTAGGGGTAGTCAGTTCAATGATACCATCTCAAGGCGGGAAAGTGAAAGGAGGACGCCTTACATTTCCTTTGCAACTAATCTGTTACAAAATCCTCTATGGTAAGCAACCTCTGGTTCATAATCGCAAGCAGTGAAATTGAGATCTGAAACAGAATCACTCCTCCATTTTCATAGAAAATTTCTACCTTCCCTCTCTTTTTCCCCTTAAAAGCTAAAAGGGCAACGGCCTTGAGATATCATCAGTGAACTGACCGGACCAAGGTAATCCAGAATTATGTTATTCTGTTCATCTGACGGCATCTGGATTTGAACTTGGGTGAAATTTGGTCTCTATTTCAACTGTTTAGTGGTGTACCAACTGGGCTACCGTCTTCACCCGAATAGAACGCGAGGTCATTATAGCTGTATCTGGACTGAAAATTGCACCAGATACGGCTATAATGACCGGGCGTTCTATTCGGGTGAAGACGGTAGCACTCCTCCATAGTGATAGTCACAGGAACCCTTTTTTTATCTTTTCAGTCCTGAAAAACAACAACTTACAACGTTAAAGCCTATAGGTGATACCGGCGAGATCCAACTGGTTTGTTTGATGTACCTATTGGAAGTCAGAGGACCCATAGTACCTGCCTAACCCGAAAGGGACCTAGTAATAGGAAAGCACTGACAATCTCGTAGAGGCTCGCTCGAGCAGAAAGGTCTGGCCAGAGTGGTTGGAGACACTCGAAGAGACTCGCCAGAGTCGTAACTGTGTCTTCGCAGCGAGTTCTTCACTACGAGTATCTTCAACGGCGTTGAATAAGTCGTGTCCGTCTCGTTGTGGACTTATCCTGAAATGTGAAAGTTGCAATTTTCCCATTGGTTGTTTGCAGAAACTTTGCGCTATCTTCTCCACGCTCAATTGGCACGAACCTGGCTGATGCAACAGCTAGGTTCACCTGCACTTACTCATCAGATACGGCACAAGCAGAATCAAACCAAAGGCGCAGTCATTAGACGGGGTCCTTGTGTTGGCCTTGGCCTTGGCCCTGGTAGTTTCCTGAAACACTTGACCAAATCAGGACTCCATGCTCTCAGAGGAGATAGGAGTGAAAGCTGAACAGAAAAAAAAAAAAAAAAAAAAAAAGCTGAACAGAAGCACAAAGAAAAAAGGAAAGGAGGTGGTCATTGCAGGGAAACAAACATGAACAGGGAGGATCTACAGGTTAAAAAAAAAAAGAAAAAAAGGAGGTAGTCGAGGTCAGGCAAAATAAGGAAGCATGGGAGTGATAGCCCACGGAGCCCACCCTGGAGATTTTTCTGGGGGCTGGATATTTGATGACAAAGTCTTCAACACCCCTCTCTCCTCCCGGCCACCCTCCCGTCAAACCACCAAGCTCCTTGTCAAAACCACCCAGATCTGGCGCTTCCAATTGTTCCTGAAAGGTAAGCAAAGTTAGCAAACATTTAAGAGTTAAAACAGTGCACACAGGATATCAGAATTTGACTTGCCGGTGAAATAGGGACTGAACGGATGCTCCTCAGAATGGACAAGGAGCCAGAGGTTCTGTTGAATCCGTTCCTCTCTTAAAGCACTAGTACCTCCGCCAGTGTTCGGAAATAGGGAAAACCGGCAGTTGTTTTCCCAAACTCCTAAAACATTGGAGGCCAGGCCCGACGATGTCTGCCATTGATAAATCTCATCGGCGGCTGTCATTTCGTTGCGGCCTTCCTAAAAGGTCGGAGGCCCGCCCGAGGGCCACTATTTTCCCACTCAGCAAAGGTACTAGTGGTTAGAAAAAAAAGAAAAGAGTACCATCACGTATAGTCCCTTCGTGCAGTTCAGAAAGAAACTTCTCATAGTTTTTCAGACTTTTTCTGACATTTTCTGAATTTTAGTCTTAGACTATCTCATGATGTCCTTTGTCTAATAGGCTACTAATTGCTCATGATCCTATTCTTAGCCGAAGCCGGGTATTGGCCCCGGTATCTCAAGTCCTTTTGTACATGTTCTCAAATATGTTTCTAATGGGACGCTGGGCGCAGTTCCCAGCACATGCAGCTCCACATGAGTAGATTGGAGCATTGTCCCAACAAAAAAAAAAAAAAAAAACAAAAAAAAAAAACACGTTTACAACTCGGCAAACTCACCCACACCCGGTGCCATCAAACTTTCCACTGAAGGAAAATAAAATATCATATTTTGAAACATTGAGAAAAACGGTTCAAAAACCACAAAAGAGCATACAGCCAGTTCTATAAACTGAATTTAACAAACAAGAAGATATGACTATTACTGTATTACAGTATTATTACTGCATTACATTACTGTTACTCTGATGGATGTAGCGGGTAGGGGGTAGGGGGGTAGGGGGTAGGGGGTAGGGGTAGGAGGTGCACGGGTGACTCAGATGGCATGGTATGCAGAAGTTGTCTGGACTCTGGAACTATCTTGCATGTCAGCCATCCCAAAAGAGACCTCCCTTGCCTGCGAGATCAGAGATCAGAAGCGACGTTCACACGGAGTGAAGCATCCAAAGATTCCAAACGACACAAGTATGCATAAATTTCCCAACGCATCAGCTGCTCAAAATCACCACGTCGCTTTGCCTACATGAGCTGGGTTTCAATCATAGGTGGTAGTACACCTACTTTTGGCGGTCTGTGTGTAGGTAATCAACTTCAGCTATTATGTAGTTATACATTTTCTTTTCTCTAGGAGTAAAAGGCGGTTTGTTGTCATCACAAGTCAAACGTTTGTTTCATTAAACAATTTCAATGTGTAAGGGACGCTGGACCCGCTTTCCAGCAAGTGCTTCTCCCCACCAATAGACGGACGCTAGCGGTGTCTGCTCTTATCAGCACCTCTAGCATCAACTCGAGGTTGGTTAAAAAAAAAAAAAAAAAAAAGTCCCATCCTTCCGGGACATCTTTTCAAAATTCAAATCCGAACGCTACATAGAAGATTAGCAAGGCCCCTGCACTCTGCACAAGGATGAAATGCATGAATTGAGAGATGGTAAAAAAGAGAGAGAGAGAGAGAGAGAGAGAGAGAGAGAGGKGGGGSGGGGGRGGGGGGGTGAAGCAGCAAGTTCCTAGTAATAGCTTACGACCTAGAGATCACTACAAGAAATTAATAAATTATTTATACGAGACGCAGTTGAACCGGTTCCACTGGCACTCATCACAAACAAAACGAATGCACTGGCAGTGTACTCTGGACTTTATATGTCAAAGAAATGAGACTCTCTTTTGTAGAATTGCGCACCAATTTGCCACCAAATGGGGCAGGCCTCACCTTCTGCGTAACTGCTAGAGAGCCTGCAGCATCTTTGAATAGCTTTTCCCTTCCCTCATTTGACTTCAAATTTTCCTGTTAACAAACAAAACACACATCAGACCACAACCGTACTGCTTCCACATGCACTTGCCTGTGAACCGTGTCAGAACTGAAAACTGTGAAAAGTGGTCATCAACATAGACTCAGTTAGTAGAGGAAAGTTCATTTGTAGCCCGCCGTCTGCTTATGATGTTTCTCCTTTCCACCTTCAGGCAGCTGAAAACTGAAAACTGTGCACCAGGCAGCTGTCAGACTCTATACATTGTGTTACCACTACAGTCTTCCCCCGAACAAAACGCACGTATGTACTATCCAACTTTCCCTGGAAAAGTCAATTTCTCAAAGTCGGACCCCGAAATCCAAATAGTACGCACGTTGAAATAGTACGCACGTATGTTCTATTCGAACAGTACGCACATATGTTCTATTCGAACAGACAGGTGTTCTATTCAAATAGAACACATGGGTGTCGTCTCTCTCTCTCTCTCTCTCTCTCTCTCTCTCTCTCTCTCTCTCTCTCTCACACACACACACACACACACACACACACACACACACACACACACACACACACACACACACACACACACACACCGAACCACCCTATCGCTCCCGCCTGCTAGCTCCCGCCTGCTCCCTCCCTCCCTATTTGCTCCGGCCTGGTTTCTTGACGGGCTGTTGTGTTTTTTTCTTTTTTCTTTTTAAATGTGGACTATTTCTCGATTTATGCCTGTCATCCGTGCTCAGAGGCCATGCTAATCCCGAAGGATAAGTACGGATTCAGGGTACTAATTTTTTTGGGGCCCCATTTTCCGAAAGTTGGTACCCTGTATCCATAGCATAACGCACGTGCGTTATATTTGAATAGAACACACGGGGTGTGTTCTATTCGTAATTAACGAACGTGCGTTTGGTTCGGGGGAAGACTGTAGGCAATGGGTTGTGAATCTGAGGAGGAGCTTTACTTTTATATATCTTACGAATCATAGTTGCGGCGCATCAGTGTGCAGTGCGGTACGGGCCGCTGCACAGTGCACTGGAACTACAGCGCGTGCACTGTGCGCAGTGCGCGCGCTGCCGGCGGTGCGCCAAGTACACACACAAAAAAAAAAAGGTTGTAGGCAGTCCTGAATGCCAATCTTCAGCATATATTGGTGGTAGGCTGGCCTCACCAAACATATTTTGTGACTTTTGCGAGTCAGTGTGGGCCAGGACGCTATTGGGCAATTAGGCCAGTTACCACACCCCGCCTAAAAAAGAACACTGGAATGAGCTTTATTTTCATGATCCACAATAGATGGAGCCTCCCCGGCGGTGCTAGTGGTGTCTGCTCTTACCAGCACCCCTAGCTTCCGCTTGGCTGATCTTAAAAAAAAAAAAAAAAAAAAAAATTGGGGAGAGGGGCCTGTGGAACTCCAAATTTGGCAGCCCTTGCCCCCCCCAAAAAAATTGGGCCAAGGGCGCGGCCAGTTTCCGAACTCACGCGGCGAGTTGAACATTTTTGCTGGGGGGCGGGGCCGTAGGAAATCACAAAACCCTTAACTTTTTTTTTTTTTTTCGGACCTTAATTTTTCCGGTGCGGTGCACAGCGCGTGCGCAAATCCCTGCACCGAGGTGCACTGCAACTATGCTTAGGATGGGTTGGACTTTCACATATTGAATAATCGGACATATCTTTTTGCGATGCGATTGGTTTGATCCCTTGTGCGATTCCGTCTTGTTTGTTTGTGATATGTGGCATGGAATGCTTGTAATGGTGGATTTGTCTCTCCATGCTCATATCGGATGCTGTTTAGTCGAACAGGACATCTACATACACATACAAATGGGTTGTGAATCTGACCAAGATTGTCGTCCCAAGAAACCTGCCCACATCTCGTGACAAATCAGGAGGGCCTGGTCAGAGACCTTCTTGGGCAGGATGGGAATGACTTGCAAACGCACATCCAAGGATAGATTTGGGAACCCGCATGCAAGGCCCGATTTGCCTGGATGGATTTCGGGCTAAACAGCAGCTGGGTACATCCCGCCCGGCGTGCCTGCGTGCACGGTGCGTTTCTGCAAAATGGCTGGGAAACGTAGTGGTGGTTCAAAGAAGTAATTTCATCAAAGCATTCCTCTATCTTGTGGCAATATCACTTACGTTTTCGTTCACCACCCCAGATGTCCTTAACTCTTATTACTCCCTTTCTTACCCATCCTTTCTAAGGGACAGTATAAGATGGGAAAGTCTGACCATTGAGGTTAGTAATCAGCCTATTTCCAAATAATGGTTGTCATACCAGAATGGGTTTGATTCATACTTGCAAGCAGACGGACCGGACGAGCGTCCGGTCTGGTCCGCTTTGCCGCGTGCGGCACCCTTCCCCCGGACCAGACGGACCCAGACCGGACCGGACAGGACCATTTGTTTTGATTTTTTTTTGGGGTGGGGCGTAACTGGTCGTCAAGCGCACATTCGTGCGCCGCGTGGGTCCGGTCCGGGGGTCTGCCGCACATGCGGAACCGCCCGGACGGCGCCCGCTTGCAAGTATGGTTTGATTTGTTTGGCAACCATAATGGATCATTTTTCATGTCTCTTTTCTCTTTCGTTCTTGGGTTATCAAAAAAAAAAAAAAGGTTATTATGCCAAAGTTTTCCTGCTAGAGTCCAGAGTCTATCCTCTAGCCAGGAAAGTGGGTGAACATTGCGTGGGGCTTCCTGGGCAAAAGGGCCTTATATTATTACCTGGGGCTCAAATCTTAGCTTTAAGATCCATTGAGCAATAATGCTTATAGTTGAATGACCGGATCCAGAATAGTCAGTCTGATCAACGTGATCTAGGGCCTCATGGCCACGCCGTGCATGCACGGCCTCGAACCAGCACCCTCAACCACAAGAACGAATTCTCGTAACCACCACAACCCTTGGAGGTGTTATACCAAATCCATACCAGTTGTGATATCCAGCCCACCCTCAGGGCTGTAGCGTCCTTGAACTCACACCACACACACACAACGCCACACCACAGACACGGCAATCAACACACACTCCGCTCGGACGGCATGCGACCCACCACCGCTACTTAACCCGGTCACTCCAAGGGGGCCAACTTCCCACGGGTTCCACGGGCGCCTTCACAATCTGATCAACATGCTTTAGGGCATCAGGCCCCGCCGTGCATGCAAGGCCTCGAACCGGCACCCTCAACCACAAGAACGAAGTGAAAGGATTTCATGTTGCCGACACCTTAAGTAACCGGTTCCAGGGTCCCAAATTGTCTCAGTCCCAAAGGGTCCCAGTTCCACCGGTCCCAGTAGGTGAGTCCCAGGTAGGGTTGCTAGGGTCCTTAGGTCCGTAGGAGGCCGAAACGTCGTAAGTCGATGTCGGGCCAGTACCGTACAGGCAGACCGGTAAAAGTCCAACCCTTACCCAACAGGAAAAGTCCAGACCCGAAGTCCAATTTTGCACCAGCCTCCCAGGAAAAGTCCGGAAGGTACCGGGCCACCAAATTTCATGCAGCAGACACCACAGGCAACCGGTACCAGTCAGAAGCAAACCAAGGCCAAGTCAAGCAATTATTAATATTTGCTACAGTGAGCTCACATCATCTATTGTCCTGTCATGAGTTGTGGAAGCGCTGCTGGTTGCTTGTGCGACCTCACATTCTGTTGTGGCAAGCGAAGGCAGCAGCGTTCGAGAGCGACCACGTCACGATGAAAATGTCTATCGTCCTGTCAAAGTTCGATCCCCATTCCAATTTTGACGAAAGCACAATTGCCTCCTTGCCCTCGTTCGCCTAGAAAATTCTGATTAATTGGACTGAATTCCCGTGCATAGTCTACTAAAAACCGACATAGGAGATCTCAGTTCCAACCTTAGACTCCAACCCCTTTTCCTAAAATCCTTGGCACACCCCCAAATCGCACTTCTAGGCCCATCCCCACTCCGATCAGGAAGTCGCGCAAGGCGTGAGGTTCGGGTTTCATCCATAACAAGCCATTTAATCCTAGGTTGCTCAGGTGGTCTTACCCCTTGATGGTTGATCCACCACCCTAAAGTTTTACTTCCTCAAATAACTGCCATATCTTAGAGTTCATAAATTTTCCCGTGAGCACCCGAATTTCCCCTATATTATTCAAGATGGCCTCTACGGCAGAATCAGATCATCTGCAAGCAAAAACAACATGGGATTCCTTCTTCCAAAATAGAAGTAGTCCTAATCCGGAAGAGTTGCTTGTTGGCTCTCATATTTGCTGCCATAGGTTCCATAATGATTACAAATCGGGATGAATCCAGAGGATCCCCTTGCCTTACTAACCTCTGTAAGGGTATTTGTGGTGCCAAAGAACCATTCATCGGAATCCTAGTTGATGCGTTCTGGTGTAGGAGGTATAGTCATCTTCTAAATCTCTTTCCTATGCCGAGTTTATCAAAAGCTATCAAGGAATTCCCAGTCTACATTGTCATAGGCTTTTTCAGAGCTGACAAAAATAATTGTTTGCATTCCCTTGTCCTATCGCACTAACCTTAAACCACCAGTGCCTCACCCAGCTAAGAAAATCCGACGCGGCCATTAACACACTACGTCAGGCGGGGTACCTAGCACCGAACAACTGGTATCCTCAACAAAACCCAAAAAAAAACACAAACGTAAAAGAAAATGAAAAGTAACGACCAGAAAGAAAAACGGGTGTGGCAGGGGGGAAAGAACAAGAAAGAAAGAGAGAGAGAGAGAGAGAGAGAGAGAGAGAGAGAG